AGAGCATGCGCATTCTACGACAGCAACAAGAACAGGAGCCGCTACCTGCGGAATCAGAGCGGGGCGGACGTGGGCCCTCTGACGATCTGGTTTACTATTTGGTTCTTCAGAACCGAGTTCAGCACAAGCTGGACCAGAAGGAGCGCAATCACCTGCTGACCGACGATCAAGACATCGCCACCGTGGAGACGCACTGGGCACAGATGTTGGCGGTTTGCCATAAGTATTCGAAGTGCAATGCGTCCCGCGTGTGGAAGAGCTTCTTGAAGACGATACCAACAGGCGGTGCCGTGCGGATTGCTCGCGCATGCAACGCATTCGACAGCAGCACCGTCAGCAGCATCCTCCAGGAGTGCGCTGATGAGGACGACGACACATCGCTGTTGGCCATCTTCGTCAGGTGCACAGGGCAAGAAGATGGAGAATCCGCGATGGGGTCCACCTTTCGACCCGATGGGCCCACCTAGGCCCCATGTTGCGGATCGGTTTGACAATCTCGGGAATCCACCAGGTTGGATTTTAGAAGCGTTGAAGCTCGTCAGCAAGATGGGGCGCGATGGACTGCAAAATATTGAGGGGGGGGCGGGGGGGCTTGGCGCGAGCGCAAGGGAGATAATCTGATCAATGCGAGCTGGGGGGGGGGCGGTCAACGACGGCGAGCTGGTCGTGACTGACTTCCAGGGCCGCTGCGCAGAGTCGGCAGCCAGGGGCGGCGCGAGGAGGCGGAGCGCCTCTTCGCTTGTGCTCTGGAGGTCTCCAGCGCGGCGGAAGCCTTGAAGAGGTGTCCAGGTATTCCTCCTCGCGGAGATGAGGCGATTAAGGGGGCCGCGACCGCTATCGTGGACCTCGAAGAGCGCATCTCCGCCCCAGAACAGTTCGAAGAGCCGCCAGTTGAGAAGGGGGCGAGATGGTTCGCCGACCTGCCGAACGGTACATCAGCGCCCACTGGAAGAAATGCTTCGCGCTCGCCAGGAAACGCAGGTCCGCTTTCGGCAAGATGATGACCCGCGCTTGGAAGACCTGTGTCAAAGTTCCCCTGTCAAAAGATAACGCGGTCGACGCGTTGCGCCGCTGCGACTGTTTCGGACGCCGCGGCAATGGCGACTCGATTTGGGATGCGAGACTCGAGGTTGGCTCCAGCTATACCCGGGGCCAGCTGCGCGAGGAGTTTGGCGAACCCTCTGAGCACGGTCCGATCAAGTATGATACAGGACAGCGGTGACCCATCTGTTTGATTTTGAGGTGCGTCAGGGATACGATGCGCGATTGAACTTTCCATGACAAGGAGCACGACTTCAAGAGGGCTGACAACGGCGCCAACTTGGCAGCTCTCGTTTCCAATTGACATAGTCGTTGCACGCACATGCTGTAGCCTGGGCGCTGCAGTGCTGCCAGTGTATCCGGAGTTCACTGCGAGGGCGAGCGCCGCCGCGGCAGCTGCGCTCACTAGGTGGCCTTCATGCCATCAGACGTCGGCCCGGAGATGCGTCTGTATTCGCGCACTTTCGAGATGGAGGTCGAGCGCGAGCGCCGAGCCAACTATCCCAATCCGGATGTTCATAGGCAGTGGTGCCAGGGTGAAGGCGGCGCTTCCATCGCGAAGCTCTGGATCCATACTACGACGATGAGGCGGGGCCACGGTGTGATCCAGAAGCGTGAGCCTGTGTCTCTGGATGGCACAGGCTATTGCATCGGACAGTCAGCATCTACCTTACTGCGAAGGTGCATCCAGATTCTTTTCTGAGTGCACATGCGTTCTCGGACGGTCCGATCGAGGTTTCTGCTCTCAAGATGTCTGATCTCTGATCTCTTCGCCCCGCACTTGCGCCGAGGCACGGGCGTTGGCTCCCGCAGTGCGCCACCGAGCTCAGTGCCGCCGCCCGCTTCTTGGAGCGGACGGGTACCTCTTACTGCGCGCCAGCTCCGTTCCAGGGAGTTCCACGATGGAGATGGGTGGGTCTGCGGGCGAGTCCATGTCGGATCATGGTGGTGGGAGTGACAGTCCTTGCGAAGACCTGTGCGAGTAGGCTTCCCATAGGTTTCTGTGTTCGTGTGGCTGGAGCGGCTACGTGTCACGGCTGACTTGGGGGTGATCGTCCAATTTAGGGTATCTTGAATGGTTGCGGCAAGCGTAAGATGTTCGAGATGAGTTGAGGCTTCGGCTGGGCGGTCGGCCGAAAACAAAAATACGAACTATGGTTGTTATTTATATTTCAGCTTCTCCTCCTCCTGCCCAGCCCGCAGCCGTCTCGGATCGTAGGGCCCTTGAGCTGCGTTTCGCGCCGGCAGCTGGCGCGCGCGAGCCCCCGTAAGAGGAAAGATAAGGTGCTCTCTCTCTCTCTCTTTCTCTCTCTCTCTCTCTCTCTCTCAGCGCGGGCTCCCCCATTTGCACATCGTGTCTCTGTATTCCACGCAGCGACTACAGTGCATTCCACAATTCCAAGCATTCCCAGAGTGTTTTTTCTACATCGGTTTCAATATCAAAATGCGGAGATGTTTTCTGATGTTTTCTATGGTTTGTATATTTCCCAGGTGCGGCTCGCAACGCTGTGTTTGCAGGGGCGTCTACTCGCAAACAAGTTCAGATAAGTAGGGGCCGACAGGAGGAACTGTAAAAAGGATTGGGGGAGCCTTGCAGCGGGCAGCGAGCTGGCTTCGGTTGCAGGCGCATAAGAGGTACTTTTCCGGAGCGAGCGTGCATGCTTTTTCATCGTTCGTAATTGCAGAGTGGCTCTCCGACCCCCCCGACCTGCCTAAGACAAGTGATCCCAGACTCCCCCCAGGCCAACGATTAAAGTTGCTTGTTTCGGACGGTTTTCGATACTCCTGCAGTGCGTTTTCAAAGCGTTTGCATCTTCCCTCTCGGAGATGGGAAGGTTGCCAGCAGTAGTTGCCACCTCTGTATCGGCGTACCCCTCCACTTCATTTCCTCGTCCTCTCCTCCTTTTCTGGTGTTCCAACCGCGTGACCGATAGCTTGCCCCGTCCTTCATTTATTTTCATATGTTTCCCCCTTTCACCTTATACTTTGCGTCTGCTTCTCTTTGTCCAATATCCTGTTATTCTCCTGCGCGGCTGGTTTAGCTTCCTTCCCTCCATAAAACCGATGCAATTACCGTTGTTCGAAAGCCCGTGTTTCTGTATAACTGGCTGCAGGGTACGTTTCAGCACGATCACAACCGCTTTTTGTTTGCATATGTTCGCCGCGAAGCCTTTGTGTATAGTGTCGTGGCGCCGTTATCAGGTCCGCGCTTTCGACTGGCATGACGCACCAGCTACAAACTATTTGAACAACAAACGCCCAGTGCGTTTCCAGAAACTATTAAGAGGATGGCCAGGGCGGACGCATGCACCAGTCATGGGCCTAGGCTGGGCCCCGCCAGGAATCGGTGAGGTGATCAGGGGACGTCGCTCGAGAGGAGCAGAGCATGCTGAGGGGCAGGAGTGTCAGCAGCAGTGGCACCACGTAGACTCTGGATCAGGTGAAGCCAGGCCTCGGTCGCATGAGAGTTTTCATGCCGACCTCCCCATGTTGATCCCCGTCGTCAGGATTTGTGCATGACGTCGACCCCAGAGGTGTCGATCCATTCCCCTGGACCGGCGTTTCCTCCCGAGTCGTTTCTCTGGCGGCCCCGAGGTGCGGCGAGGGCATCCGGAAGCCGAAACATCAGCGAAACATTTGCTTTGTTTCTGACTCGATGGGGGTTTGGGTCGGGTTGGAGTCGTTGTGGGTTCAGCCGTGCCCCCGCCGCGGCCGCCGCTGCGGCCGCCGCTGCGGCAGCAGCAGGAGCGCGCCAGCAGCAGGAGCGGGCGCGGGAAGAGCAGGGCGGCCCCTGCCTGGTCCCCAGAGTTGAGTCGGGCACGTCCCTCTACAGGAGGAATATTCAAAGATTGTCAAAAATAGTATGGCGACTATTTCTTACTATCTGTGACTACTCTGGATTCTTATTTTGATAATCTACCTGTAGGAGGACATGCCCGACCTAACCCCAGAGGCACGGGGAGGGCCTCGGCCTGGTAGAGCGGCCCCGTCGATGGTGCGCAGAAGTGCGCAGAAGTGCGCAGCGGAGGCTTGTTGGTTTGGTTTCCCCGCAGCTGGAGGCAGGAGGGGATCCTCCTCCTCCTCCTCCTCCTCCTCCTCCTCCTCCTCCTCCTCCTCCTCCTCCTCCTGTTTCCTGTTTCCTGATGGCATGAGAGTGCTTCCCACGCTAACGCTCCTCCTCCTCCTCCTCCTCCTCCTTCTCCTCCTCCTCCTCCCCCTCCTCTCTCTCCATGGAGCGGTCGGGCGCAGAGCTTTTTGGGTCTGTCCCTGCGTCTCCCCCAATTTGTCCTTCCCCCCATGAGATGAGAAACGACGCGAGGATGAATCTCGCGATGTAATCGAAATAGTTGTTCCCCCAGATTAGTGCTGCCTGATCGTCCCAGTCTCCGCCAGAGCTTGATTCAGTTGAGCACGGATTGTTGTGACCGCGGCTCCGCGGCAGAAACCACCAGGGTATGGCAGGACAGTTGTTCAAAGTAAAACATGTTCAAGCCCTCCCCAGATGCATCGGACGCCGAGTAGCGCGTGTGCGATACATGGGGGTTTGAAGAAGGGTGCACCTTTTTTGCCCTGAAGGGGTCCTGAAGAGGCCCCCTGGGGCCCAACGGGGGACGAACGGTGCACGCTTCTCCCCCCCCCCTACTCTTGCCCCCCCGACGTCACGTTTTTTTCATGACGTCGATCCCGCAGGGGGTCTCGACCCATCCCCTGGACCAGTGTGTCATCCCGAGTCGCTTTTCTGACGGCCCCGAGGCCCGGCGAGGGCCACCAGAGGCCGAAAGCAGCGAACATTTTCCCGCCGTGTTTTTTCCATGACTCGAGGGGGTCTGGATTCATCGCCACCTCATTAAGTGGCGCCCGCATGTGGAGGAGGACGAGGAGGAGGAGGAGGAGGAGGAGGAGGAGGAGGAGGAGGAGCAGAGGAAGGAGGCCCTGGCTCCGTTCTGGGGCGGCGACAGGTCCCGGCGCTGCTGGTGCTCCTGGGCCGCGGCCAGCACGAGAGGCGACGCCCGCCCAGCCGCGCCGGCTGTGCCTCGCCCTTTCCTCCTCCTCCTCCTCCTCCTCCTCCTCCTCCTCTCCTCCTCCTCCGCTGTCCTCCTCCTCCCCCCCCTCCCTCTTCCCCTCCTCCCCGTCGTCGTCGTCCTCCTCCTCCTCCTCCTCGTCCCTCCTCCTCCTCCTCCTCCTCTCCTCCTCCTCCTCCTCCTCCTCCTCCTCCTCCTCCTCCTCCTCCTCCTCCTCCCCCCCTTCCTTTTTGTGCAAGAGCCGCAGGGAGCGCGCGTTCCTCGTCGTCGTCGTTCTCCTCCTCCTGGAAGTCCCTCTCTCGGCCCCCACTGGCGGCCCGAATCTCTGACGTTGCGCCAGGTATTTGTGTTCAATCGCGGCGTGTTCCGGTTGTTGTGGCCTCCTGGGGCCGTTCCCGGGCCCGGGGTCGCCGTTGGGAGCCCCCACACCAGGTGGTGAAATATCAGGTGCATGGTGACCTGGGATCCCTGAAAAGTCACCGCCGGGTTTTGGAACACGGGGTCACCGCTGGGCTCTGTGACTCCTGCATGGGCCTGGACCCACCAGCGTTCAGGGCATTTTCGAAAAACCACGCGAGTCCCCAAACCGGGTGGTGACGCCAAGTCGCCCGACATTCGCCGCCCGTTGTTAGGCAGCGCCCGCCCAGCCGCGCGGGCGACGTCTCACCTGTTTTTCCCCCCTCTGGCGGCCCAGATCCTTGACCAGGTCTCGAGCTCAACGGTGCTTTGGCGAGCTCGTGGGCCGTTTTCGTTCTGTCCTCGTTGTGCGGCAGAGGCGGGACGGAGACGGCACGAGGGACACCGAAGGCAGAACCAGAACGGAAAGCAGGTCGAGTTTTGTCCCTGACTCGTGGGCGAAAGGCCTACGAATCCGCATCCGCGGCCTCGCGGGCCGGGCCCGTGGGCCACGACTGCGCGGATTACACAGAGCTTTTTGGTTCGCGGCTGCCCCGTGGGGTGCGCACCCGTGCGAACGCGTGTCCGCGGGAGCGCTCCGGGGCACCCAGACCGCGAGGGTTTGGATGCGGACATGTTCGCCGCTCGTGGCGGTGAGATGAGTTTCTGTCGCTGCGTTTTTCCGTTTTTCTTGGCCTCCCGGGGCCGCTCTTGGGCCCCGGGGGCTGTCGCAGGCCTCGAGGTTGACACCAACACCAATATTGGCGGGGTGCCTCCACCGAGGGAAGAAGATCCCGGTCTCGGTGATGGTGGTGATATTCTGGCTTCCAAGGTGGCCGAAACATTACCACCATCACCGAAATCTAGGGTCATCCCCCCCTGTGAAGGCAACCCCCGTGTGTTGGTGTTCGTGCCAATCTCCGGGCCTCCAAGACTATCACAAGTGAATCGGTTCCCCTGGGCCGCGGCCAGCACGGAAGGCAGCGCCCCCACCGAACTGCGCGGGCGGCGTCTCATGTCCCCTCCTCCCCCCTCCAGCGGCCCGGTTCCCCGACGGTGTGATTTTTGCAATCGCGGTGTTTCGTTTCCCTTGTTTTGGCCTCGCGGGGTCGTCTGTGGGCCTGGGAGCCAGGGGCGAAGTGGTCGGGACCTTCTTGGGGCCGTGTATAGGAAAGGTCAGATGGGCGGATGGAAGGGGAGTTGACGGCACAGTCGCCACGAAAACTGCCGAATTGCACACAGCCTCTTGGAGGCAGACAGGGACCGCCTGCTTGCGTACAATGCGCTACTCGGAGCCCGCGCAGTGGAAGAGGCGCACCCACCGTGGGGAGCGCGCGTGCTCGCGAGCAGGCGGTGCCGGCGCTGGCAAGTTCTCGCCGCCAATCCCCAAGCTTCGGCCGCAAAAGTCAGTCAGACCGATCAGGGGGAGAAGCTCGGGGATGCACCCCTGGGTGGCAAGTGGGCTATTCGGACGCACCCGTATCGAGGATGAGTGTCCCTCCCAACGTACATCCCCGAGTCCGTATTATACTTACTCGAGGATAAGCGTTGGGAAAAATCGGGGCCGGACTCGGGAATGTACTATCCCCGAGTCCAGCCCCGATGTTCCGCCGGGCGAAAATTGCAGAACATATGTGGGATTTGGGTCATTGCCATGCCCCCCGTTGCATCCGCCGGCGCCGGCCCGCGCGATCCTCGTCCTGTCCTCGCCGTGGCGGGGAAGGGGCCTCGACGGGAGAAGGGTCCCCAGCCTTTTCGCTGTCTTCGGGTCTCCCCCTGGCATCTTCCTCTTCGTGAGCGTAACTATGCCGCCTCCTCAAACTCCTCTTCGTCATCCTGCTCCTCTTCTCTCATGGGCCGGGGGGCTCTTCAGTGGGCCCCCGCCCACGGCGCAGTGGTGAGCCCCTGCGGCTGCGCGTGCGCCGAGTCCGACGAACTTGTTCTTTACTCCTTTTATGGGTAATGCAGAAAAGCGATTTAGAAATTATCCCAGGGCGTGTTCACGCGGCGGCGCACCCAGGCTGATGATTAGACAATCCGCCCCCCAGCCTGGAAACTAATTTTTGAATCGTTCCCTCCCGCCCTCCTGCCCTCCTCGGGCGCGTGCCTGGACAGTCGACGGGTCAGACGGTGCCGAAGCGAACCGGAAGCAGAAGATTTGGACACTTTTGTGTTAATTCTTCCCCTCGCATTCTTTTATGAACCGCCATTTTACACGAACTATCGCGAGCGCCCTTTCGTAGACGTGGACGATTAGAACAGCACTTCCATGTCCTGGGGGGGGGGCGGTTCTATTTGTGTAGGATCAACCAATAAAAACTTGGAGGCCGAAACTGTTGTTTCATCGTCCACCCCCCAGATTTTCTTGGGCGTCGCGTGCAAAGTGATCTCGTAATCGCCCCCCCCTCCGCCGCGCAGCAACTTCGAGGAATTAGTCGGATCCCTTTGGATTTGTCTGCAGGAGGAGAGGGGGCTGGGAGGAGGAGCAGGCGGCGCGCGGCGCCCCCCCCCCCCCCCTCTCTTGCACCGCCGCGCCCTGGCAGGAGCAGGGCGGCGCGCCGCGCCGCTCCCCGCATGCTTCCGCCGCGTCCTGCCATTCAGAAGCCAGCGTGCCATGGGGGGCGCGTTCTCGTCCCCGTTCCGCTCTCGCACGCCGGCCAGCGAGCCATCCGGCTGCCCCGCACTGCCAGACGCTGGGGCGGGGCAGGGGCGCCGCGCCCCCTCTTGCGCCCCGCCGCGTGCCAGGAGGAGCGGGCCAGCGCCTGCAGGGGGGACACGCCGCGCCCCTCCCCGCCTGCCTCAAGCTGGCCCTTGTGAGGCCCAACCTCCTCCTCCTCCTCCTCCTCCTCCTCCTCCTCCTCCTCCGATCGTCCCAAGACGGCCCGTGAAACCTTCTAGACGCTACCAGGAGACCCCCCAGGGGCCCAAAGAGGAGCCCCCAAACGGCGGTCTCCAGAGGCAGCGCCCGCTGTCTCTGTGATCGTTGCTCTTGCTCCTTCTTGGCCTCTTGGGGGGCTTCCGTGGGATGCTCGGAGGGCACTGAGAGTCGCACTGGAGCGGTCTTGGGGGAATCTTGGAGGCATGTTGGAGACTATATTGAACCAGGCTGGGGTATCTGGAGCGATCTCGGAGGCCATCTTTGGCTCCCGGGGGCCATCTTGGAACCATATTGGGCCATTTTGGACGCGCCTGTCCCTCCCGCAACGCACCCTCCAGACCCGAGGGGGGAGACCCCGTTCCCGAAGGGGAAGGAAGGAGTAACACACCGAGCTCGTTGGACCCCTTACGCCCGCAGGGCTTGTGGGATTCATGGGTCTCTACGTGCTAGGTCCTCTCCCTAGATGTCTTTCTGTCGTCCCTTGCAAGGCGTACGTGCGTGTACGTACATATATGCATGTGCATATGTACGTATGTATGTACGCAGGTGTGCACACATGCTGCATGTATGTACGTATGTATGGTTGCATATCTGCATGTGTATGTGTGTATGTGTGTATGCATGCATGCATGTATGTACGTATATATGTATGTATAGGTGTTTGTATGTGTGTATGTCTGTATGCGTGTCAATATGATTGCATGCGTGTATGCATGCGTGCGTGCATGCATGTATGTATGTAAGTATGTGTACATGCATGTGTGTATGCATGTATGTATGGATGTATGCATGCATGCATGTATGTCTGTATGGATGTGTGTAGATAGGTATGTGTGTATGTGTATGTATGTAATGTATGTATGTGTGCATGTATGTCTGTATGTATGCATGCATGTAGGTAGGTAGGTAGGTAGGTAGGTAGGTATATATGTATGCATGCATGCATGCATGTGTGTTTGTGTGTATGTGTGCATGTGTGTATGTATGTATGTATGTATGTATGTATGTATGTATGTATGTATGTATATATGTATGTATGTATGTATGTGTGTATGTATGTATGTGTGTATGCATGTGTGTATATGTATGTGTGGCATGTTCTTGGAGTGTCCTGACTGCCGCGCCTCAAGTCTCTGCGGCTCCTGTACCTGGACTTGTGGCACCATGAACCACCACGGCCCTGTGGCACCCGCTCCTGCTATGTGTAAAATGGCACAGCGCTACCCGATCAAAAAAGCGTGTGTATGTATGTATGCATGCATGCATGTATGTATGTATGCGTGTATGTATGTATGTAGGTAGGTAGGTAGGTATGTATGTATGCCTGTATGTATGTATGTATGTCTGTGTATATGTATGCATGCATGTATGTATGTATGCATGCATGTATGTATGTATGTATGTATGTATGTATGTATGTATGTATGTATGTATGCGTGACTGCATGTATACAGGCAAGCATGCCGGTATGCATGTATGTATGTCTGTATGTATGCCATGCATGCATGTACGATAGCGCATGTGTATGTATGTGTATGTGTGTGCATGTGTGCATGTATGCATGTATCTAGCATGGATGGATGGCTGGAGTGATGGGTGTGCATGTATGTGTGGGCCGCAGGTTCCAGTGCGATCCGTGACGCTCCGACGATTGAAGCACCCGTCGCCGGGATTGCGTGTATGCGTGTTGCGTGGGTCGGCGTGCCTGCGGCGCCGCGCGGCTGGCGCCCGGCTTAGCAGCCGAGGCGAGCCACAGAGCGCGTGGTCATCGCGTCGTGGCGCCATGCCAAGTGCCGCAAGGTGGTTGCGCGTCGGCCGTGCTTCGCCCACTTGGCCCACGGGGTGGGCAGATGGGTCACGCGACGCTCGCTCGCCGACGAAGCGCTTGCGCACGAGGCTGCCAGGGCACTGCGCAGCGTCATACGCAGCAGCATCGTGACCAAGGCCATTGCGGTGAATTGCAAGGGCGACGGTGGCACGTGCCCACACAGTGGGCTGGTTCCTGAAGACCACGAGCATCGCCTTCGGCTGTGCCCAGCGTGGGAAGGCCCGCGGCGCACCGCCCTTGCGGCAGTTCCACGGTCGGATACGCTGCTGCGCGACGCCGGGGCCCTGATGCAGCTGCTGTCAGCTGGCGTCGCGCTGACAGGGGTGCTAGCGATGCCGCCGATCCTCGCTGCCCTCGCGGGGCCACTGCGAGCGCAGACCCACAGCGCCCACCCCAGGCCGAGCAGCAGCCGGACGCTCCCCGCCGCTCGGTGTGGAGTGATGGGTCATGCCTGCACCCCGCCGACCCGCTGCTTGCACGAGCCGCATTAGGCCTGCGTGTCCAGGGTTTCGCAGCCCCATACCTCGCCGGCCCTGTCGACGGGCCGCAGACCGCAGACCGAGGTCACTGCCGCGGTGGCGGCGGCTCGTGTTGTCGGCGGCCACATCGACCCCGCCACGGACAGCCAGTACGTCGTGCGGGCGTGCGCGCAGCTGGAGGCCGGCGCCGACACGCGGGACTGGGAGCACGCCGACCTGTGGCAACTGCCCGCAAGCGCCGTACGGAGCGGGCGGCTACGGGCCCGCTGGGTGCTAGCGCACAAGACCCTGGCGGAGGCGCGGCGCCTGGGGGTGAGCGGGCGGGACCGCCTCGGCAACGCCGCGGCCGACGTCAACGCTGGCGCCGCGGCTGCGCAGCGGGTCCCTCCGCGCGAGGTCGTGCTCGCCCGCCGAAGGGAGTTCGAAGTGTTGGAAGCGGCGCAGCGGGTGCAGGCCCGCTGCCCAGGCAGCGGCCCCAGCTGCTGCTGCGCCAGTGCGCCAGCGCCACGGCTGGCGCATTTGCAGCGCGGTCCGCCGCGGGGCTCGGGCTCGCCCTGCGTCCGCCCCAGCCGGCCCCGCCCCCGCCGGCCGCGCGGCGCTGCCTGCTGTTCGACCGTGCCGGCACGACGGCGATGAGCCCGTCAGCGCAGAGGCCATGCTCGCCGCCTTCTTCGCAAGGCGCTCGTGGTGGCCCCACTCCGTCGCGCAAGGGCCCGGCCGGGTGTGCTGCCTTCGCGGCCGCGGCAGCGCCCGCGGCTGCCATGATGGGCGGCGCGTGCCCGGGGTGGCAGGACCGTTTGCGGGCGCGTGGGCAGGCTGTGCTCCTCCTCGGGAGCCTGCGCTGCGCGGGGGGCAGCGAGGCAGAATTCGCCTCCTTGGCTGCGCGCCACATCGCGCAGCTGCCAAAGGTGCCTTACTAAGTCGGCACCTTGCTGGGGCGCCGGCGTCCGCGCCATTTCGCCGTCTGTTCGCGAGTCAAAAACATGTATGTATGTCTTTATGTATGTGTGCGTTCATGCATGCATGTGCGTGCATGTATGTATGTATGTACGTATGTCTGTTTGTGCTTATGCTTGTACGCCCGTATGTATGTATGTACGTACGCATGTATGTATGTACGTATGTATGCAGTGTCAAAACCGGCTTAACATGATACCCCCTCCCCCCCTGGACCCCGACTGTTATCAATTCGCCGCCGAATGATATGTTTTTAATTGTCCCTGGGGCAACTATTCCACATGCCGAACGATGCGATTGATAAATGCATACATGTTTGTTAGTATCCATATTTGCGTGTACACACGCACGCACGCGCATGCATTGGTAGATGCTCATGAACTGCATGCGTGCAGATGTGCAGGCAGTTTTCGTCATACTGGGACACTGTACGTACGTACGCGCGCGACTGCGCGCGCGTGCGCGCGGTGGCGTGCAATTCTCGCGCGCGGTGTGGGGCTGACTGGCCTTGCGTTGGCTCCCTGAATCCAGAACGTACAATTGTTTTTTTTTTCGCACGCGGTTTCGGGGGTGACACGTGTGACGGGCTACTGTTGTGAGGCTGAATGGCTTGATGTTGGCTGTGGATCCCAAATCTACAAGTGGATATTATGTCACGGTTTCGGTGGTGACACGTATCATCTGATTTATGTGAGAAGCTAAATGGCCTTCTTTTGGCTCCCCAAATCCCACATTTCGAATTGTTTCGTATCACGCGGTTTCGGGGAGGCACGTGTCCCGTTGTATTTTTGTGAAGCTGAATGGTTTTACGCTGGCTCCCGGGATCCTAAGTTTACTATTGGTCTTTCCCGCGCGGTTACGGGGGTGACACGTGTCACCCGTTGCTTCCGTGAGGATGAATGGTCTTATGTTGGCTCCCTGAATCTATAATTATCATTTGGGTTTTTCTCACGTGGTTCGGGGGTGACGCGTGTCACCCTTTTTTCTGTGCGGCTGAATGGTTTGATGTTGGCCCCCAGAAGCCCACATGTATAAGCAGTTTTTGTTTCGTTTTGGCGGTGATTCGTGTCGCCCCTTGTTTTTGTTATATTGAATGGCCTTCTGGCCTTATGGTGGCTCCCATAATCCCAAATCTATCATTTGTTGTTTCCCATGTGGTTTCAGAGGTGACACGTGCCACCCGCTGTTTTTTGCAAGGCTGAATGGCTTTATGTTGATTTCCAGAATCTCGAAGTCAATTTCCAGCTGTTTAGTTTGTGCAGTTTCGGGGGTGGCGCGGGACGTTCGTTATTGTTGCGCCGCTGAATGGCCTTATGTTGGCCCGTGGAATTCTAAATTTGCAATTGTTTTCCACGCGCGGTTTCGGCGGAGACACGTGTCACCCGCTGTTACTTTGTTGTGAAGATGAATGCCTTTGTACTGGCTCCCAGGGTTCCAAATTTACAGCTTGTTTTCCTCACAGTGTTTCGGGGGTGACACATGTCACCCGTTGTTTTTGTGAAGCTGGATGGCTTTATCCTGGCCCCCAGAATCCCAGATTGACAATTGTTTTTTTTCACGGTTTCGGGGGTAACACGTGTCACCGGTTGTGTTTATGAGGTTGAATGGTTTTATGCCCAGAGTATTTTTACATTTGGTTTTCTTTACACGGTGTCAAGGATGGCGTGTGTCGCCTGTTGTTTTTGTGAGGTTTGATGGCCACATGCTGACCCCAAACATCTTACATTTACAATTGGTTTTCTCAAACGGTTTCGGGCGTGACACGTGTCACCCGTTGTTTTTGCGAGGCTGGATGGCCGTATGGTGGCCCCAGAATCCCAACTTTACAATTGTTTTTTCTCACGCGGTTCCGGGTGTGACACGTGTCACCCGTTGTTTATGCGAGGTTGAATGTCTTTATGTTGGTTCCTGGAATCCCCAATTTACAATTTTGATTTGTTCTCAGGCGGTTGCGGGGGTGACACATGTCTCCCGTCGTTTTGGTATGAAGCTGAATGGCCACATGTTGGCTCCCAGGGTCTCATATTTACATTTGTTTTTTCTCAAACGGTTTCGGGGTGACACGTGTCACCCGTTGTTTTTGTGAGGCTGATTGGCGTTTTGCTGGTTCCCAGAACCCGAATTTTTTTTTTTCTCACGCGGTTTCCGGTGTGACACGTGTCACCCGTTGTTTTGTGAGGCTGAATGGCTTGATGTCGGTTGTTTCCCAGAATCCCAAGTTCGCAGGGCGTGGCCAGCGTGGCCTGATGACAAGAGGGGGTACGCAGGATTCCGCCCTTGCACGCTGAGCGCCAGGGCGGTCACGGGGACGTCCCTGGCGGTCCAGTTCGCCCCGCCTCCCTTTTTATCAGTGTTTACACATTTGTGTATGTGCATATGTGGGTATGTGCGTCTATCCTTGTATTTTTCTTCAAATCTGATTATCAACACAAGTGCACATTCCCCTTTGCTCTTTTTCTGAATCGGAGGTTGGGGCGATACCGGGCTGAAGCTGAGACCCCCCGCAGGGAAATTGGTTTCGGTTTCATGCTCGTGCCGCGCGCGCGAACGAGGCGAAGGCACGTGCATGGGCCAAGCGAGCGACCCCGCCGTTACTAGGGCGACGTCAGAACAAATGCTTCTCCCCCTCCACGGTTGGCAGATGATGCGATGGTGCATCGAGGTTGCCCCCTGGTTGTCCCGTGATTGTCCCGTCGTTTTCCCGCGGTTGTCCCGTCATGTCTTGCTGTTGCCCAGATGGTTGTGCCGGCAGTTGTCGCGATGGTTGTCCCGATGGTTGCCCCGATGCCTGTCCGGATGTGTGTCTTGATGGTTGGCCCGAAAGGTCTCGGTTAAGGAAATGCGTTCGGCGCTTGTGCGTTTCGCTGGTTTTCCCGATGAGTGCCCCGATGGATATGGTGATATCGACGAGTTGATGGTGAGATCGATAGATGCACGTTTTCATTCTACATACACATATCGGTGAACATTTACACACAGCACATAGAGGAGAGAGACTTCGATGAATCGATGGCGCGGACAGCGGATAGTATTCGAAACTTGTGCGTCTACCGTGGGATCAAAGTGCTGTGCGATCCAAGCACGCAGCGTGCTGTCGATCTTGAGACCCATATTTGTACATTCGTATGCACACACCAGCAATAGTGATATCGGTAGATCGCGATGCAGTAAATAATGAGACCTGTGGACATTGTTCGATGGGTGAAAACGGTGGCCCCGATGCTTGTCCCGTCGTTACCTCCACCCACCCACCCATCCTCCTCATCGGTATTTGGGGGTACACATATTCTCATACGCACCTCTCCGAGGGAGTAGAGCTCAGAGGCGATTAATGCGCACGTCGTCCGCGATTGTTCTGGCCGTTTCGTTCGGGACATCCTCGAAATTCTGAAACACGCTGGCACCCCTCACGCAGATCGTGACGTCAGGGTCCAAAAACACATGGGAATTTTAACATTTTAACATAAAACCTTCAAAAACACATGGTAATTTCAATAATTTCGACCCCGAGTCTCAGAGAATGGCGGTTTCGCATGAAAAATCCTCCCAAAATCGAGCCCCAGACCCCTCCTCGGAGCCTCCTGGGGGCCTCCTGGAACCTCCTGGGGCCTCCTGGGGCTTTCTGGACCTTCTGGTGCCCCTGACCCCGCCTCGGAGCCTCCTGGAGTTCTCCTGGGCCTGCTGAGGCCGCCTGGGGCCTCCTGGGGCTTCAGAACTACATGCACACACAGAGACACAAATCACGCCCAACACATCACACGCTAGACAAACATAACATACACACACACAACACCGACAACACTCAAAAAGCACGCACCACACAAAGCACACATCACACACACACACACAACACTCACAATCCTGGGGCCTCCTGGAGCCTCTTCTGGTATCCAAGTCGGGCCTCCTGAGGCTTCCTGGGGGGCCCTGGTACACACACATCGCAAGGTGTGGCAACCCCACTTGCGCTCGAGTGCGACTTCGCTGTTGCATGTCACTCCTGCTTCAAACGCCCCTTCAGCTTGTTGTATGAGCCTGGGCACACACGTGACACTTGTATAAAACGTGTTTCGGTCAGGGGCTTTTGTATGCCTGTGGGTATCTCCGATCTCCTGGGGGGCTCCTCGGAAGCATTTCTGAGGCGGTTTGGGGGTATCTTCGGGGGTCTCTTGGGGGCCTCTTTGGGCCTCATTTGGGCCTTTCGGTGGCCTCCTGTAGTTGCTCGGGGTCTTCTTGGAGGCATGCTTGCGGTCTCGGAGGTCGGGGGCATGCATGCTTGGGTTGGAGGTTTCGAAATGTCGGTTCCTGCTACCCAATGTGGGGCCCCTCGAGGGGCCCTCTTGGGCCGTGTTGGGGCTCTCATTGAGCCGTCTTGGGGCGCTTTGGGCGGTCTGGGGGCCCTCTTGGGGGCTTAGTGGGCCGTGTTGCGGCGATGTTTGGTGTCTCCAGGGCCATATTGGAGCGTCGAGGACCCGAAAACGCGAGAATGCGCGCTACGACCCATTAGTCACGCGCCAATACCTTGCAGATCCTGGAATTTAGGGTCCCGGCCCTTTTCCATTCAGGACCGAAGACGGGGAACTCCAAGGGACCTAAGGCCATTCTAATTCAGGCCTCAGGGCACGGCGGCGGATGTGTGTGTGTGTGTGTGTGTGTGTGTGTGTGTGCGTGCGTGCGTGCGTGCGTGTGTGTGTGTGTGTGTTGTCTCCTCGAGCTCGTTTACTTTACGGTTGTGTTTTTATGTTTTCTTTGTTTGTGGTTTTCTCTCTCTCTCTCTCTCTATGTACATTGTTATTCCCGTCTTGATCATCTTAAAGTACACAGGCACATGGGCATACATTTCTCTCTTGCGAGCTCCCCCCCGCGCCCAGGCAGCTCGTCTCCACGGACCACCAGGACGATTGCCATTGGGAGACACAGCATTGGGGCAGGAGAAGCCGTGGCGGTAGCTAAATGAAGTGGGTCGGGAGTGTGCGTCCGGTGTTTTGGTCTCATTGCAGTATCGCTCCGTTCGGAAAGGATTTGGCAGCTATGGATGTTGCAATTTGCGGGCGCTCCGTAGTAGTACATCTGCGCGGAATTATGAGTCAGTGCTCTCGCATTGGGCGCCCCACACCCAGGATGCTGCCAGATACGCGTCGCGTGTCAAGCGCCGAAACAGGAGCAGGACCTCGACCTTCTGGCCGCAATGGCCATGATGCCATAATGTGGGGGACGGGGTATGGTTGCGATGGATGGGCTCGCTTGGGGGGGCTTGGTCGGACAAGAGGTGGAGGAGGAACAGGAGCAAGAGGGTGAGCATGAAAAGCAGTCATGCGACATGGAGACCAGCATTTCAGCGCCTTGGCTGAAGGCGATTTCTGCCATGGTGGTTTCTGCTTGCAGCGGGAACTTGTCAGCCGCCTTCAACTGTATCAGTTGCCACTCTTTCCTTTTCTCCGCCGCCTTCTTTCCCTCTTCATCTTTCCTTTCACCATTCCTACTCCCAAGCTCACCTCCCCAGTCCACCACCCCGTACTCATCCTCTGTGTCATTTGCTCTGCGTCCTCCTGCGTCCTCTACCCCCGCCGACCTCACCGTCGTCGTCCACTCGGCTTCCTCGCTTTACAGCTGGTCCTCCGCCCCCCCCTCGTGTCCTTTGGATGCCCGCCCGGTGCCGCGTTTTCCCTGTCCTCGCTCTTCGGGTCCCTCGTCGGCCTGCACTCGTCGTTTGTGCTCGCTGCCCGGGGGCAACGTCCGGGGGCGGCTGGGCTCTGGGGGTGAAGCGGTGCGTCGACCCCCCAATCGCCCATGGATCGCCGAGAAGGGGCCCGATCGCCGGCACTGCCCAGGAGCATGCGGTGACGCTGTCGGGGCCCCGTAGCCGATCTTGATGGGCCTGTTTTCCACCACCACCACCATGGGTTGGAGGGGGGAAGGAGGTGGAAGACGAGGGGGAGGAGGACGAGGACAAGGAGGAGGAGGAGGTGGAGGAGGAGGAGGTGGACCCTCTCCCCCTCCAACTTATGGTGGTGGTGGTGGTGGTGGAAAACAGGCCCATCAGATCTATCAGCGATGAGCCGCCGATTCCAGCTCGATGTTTCCCCCGCTGAGCTGGTCCCCCCCGTCCCGTTGCACCTCGAGTTGGGGCTTGACGCTAGCCCAGGCCCACACAAATACCTGCTGAGTGTGCTGGGTCAGGCGTCGACAGGGTCAAAGGGGAAGTGTGCCTGGATTCGGGGGGCCGGAAGGCCTCCCGATCCTGGCACTTTCTGCCTCCACTCCTCCCTTGCCCCGAAAGCAGGTAGTGCCCAGCAAGCCCTGCTCCTATCTGGGCATGGGCGTATGTGTTCGATCATTGATCCATCCTTAACGCAGCCGCCCAGCCGTCTTTCGTGCCAGAAATTGCCGAAGACCGCCGAAAGCCGCCCCCAATGCCGTTGGGTAACAGGGGGGTCCACGTTCGAGTGTGTAGTGGGCAGACCTTCGGCAGCCAGGCGGGGCATGGCGGGAGCGGAGGAGGGAGGAGAAGGAGGGATGAGGAGGAGCAGGAAAGGGGATGAGGGGGGAGAGAGATAAGAGCAGTGAGAAGGGGGGGAGGAGGAGGAGGAGGAGGAGGAGGAGGAGGAGGAGGAGGAGGAGGAGGAGGAGGAGAAGAATGGAGGGAGAAGAAGAGAGGAGGAGAAGAAGAGGAGGAGAAGAAGAGGAGAGAGAAGGAGGAAAAATAGGGAGAGTAGCAGGAGAGGGAAGGGGGGCGGGACCAGGAGAGGGAGACACAGGATGGGGGGCGGGCCGCAGAGGGGGAAGCGCCAAGCTAGGTGCGCTCGCGCCACATTTGACATCACACTCCTCCCTCCCATTCCCTCCCACTGCGCAGATTTGTCCTGCATCTCCGGACGCGTGTCGAAGCCGACCTGGAATTGCAGCAAGCAAGCCCGTCGTGTGATGCGAAGAGCGGAGGAGGACGATGATTCAGCAAACAGGAAAAAAGGAGGAGGGGGAACAGAAGGGGGAACCCTCCTCCTCCTGCTCCTCCTCCTCCCACCTCCTCCTCGTCCTCCTTCGCCTCCCTTGCGGAGGAGGAGGAGGAGGAGGAGGAGGAAGAGGAGGAGGAAAACGGGGAGGTGCAGGAGAGGGAGAGGGGGTGAGGAGACCAGGAGAGGCAGCAGCAGGAGGAGCGCGGCCGGCAGAGGGGGGAAGAGCGGAGGGGGAGGAGCGGAGGAGGAGGAGGAGGAGGAGGAGGAGGATGACACGGCAGCAGAACGAGGACAAAAGGGGGCCAGTCCGACGCCGACGCAAGGCCGCAGCCTTGTGGGCGACCCCTCGGCCTGTGCTTAGTCGGGCATGTCCCTCCACGGGAGGAACATATAAACATACTAAGAGCATAGTCTTGTGACGATGTTCTTTTGAGTAGTTTGGGGTATTTGTTTGCACACGTTCTGGCTATATTTTTAACTCTTCATCCCAAATCCGTCTGTCGGAGGACGTGCCCGACCTAAGCCGCCTGGGCTGAGCCGCTGGCAGAGCCACGGAAGCAATCATAGCATGTTGTTGCGAACGCCCGCAGGCACCCAGCCTGTGGCGACGCTTCAGGGAGCGAGGACGCAGCGGACGAGGAGGACGAGGACGATGGCGAGGGGGGAGGACGAGAGTGGAGGTTGCGTCTTTCAGGGATGCGTCAATGTCAGGATGCGGCACTCGCTCCTTCGGAGGAGTGCCATGCTTCTCGCTCCTTCGGGCGAGAGCCGACGTCGCGTTGGTCTACTGTTGCCTTGCACGACGTGGGCACCCCAGACGATCGTCTTCGGGGCTGTGGGAAGGAGGAGGACGAGGAGGACGACGGCGAGGGGGGCCGCCTCGGCCGCGCGCAGGGGCGATCTCCCGCGCACTGGGCGGCCTACAAGGGCCAGCCCGAGGCCTTGCACGCCCGGGCCCCGGCCTCTCCGTCAGCGACCCGCCGGCCGCGCTCGCCCGTGGCCGTGTCAGTGCGGTGCGATTGAAATGCTCGGCTGCACGTGAGACCCAGATCCTTCGATGTCTGTTCATGGGAGCCTTGGACGGCGACATTGAAATCGGCTTTCCCTGCATTTGGACCGCATTGGGGCCGCATGTGGTTCCTCCTGCTCCTTCTCGTACTTCCTGTTTCTCCTCCTCATCCTCCTCCTCCTCCGCCTCGTTCTTGTCGTCCCCCTTGTTGTGAAGGGGCGAGTCTCGTCCAATTCTGGTCCAAATGTGGTCCAAATCAGTGCCAAATCGGACAGCGCCAGGGGCCACGCAGACTCCCATGAAACGGACACCAAAAGATCTTGTCGAGCCATGAAAACCTTGACCCTGTCGTGCCATGGAAAAATCTACGACGCCCAGTTTCTCGCTATTCCCAGCCTCTGGGGGCTTCCGCTGGGCCTCGGGGCCGTCAAACAACGACCCGTGATGAAAAGGCGGTCCCGGGGAATGGGTCGACACCTCTGGGGGTCAACGTCATGACACAGTACCACGCTGTCGGGAGTTTTGGATGGTCGGCTACACTTATTCTGTGACAGCGCGGCAGAGGCTATCCGATCCGCTCGCGCGCTCTAGTGGGCCAAGCGGTGGAAAGCTCTAGTTGGCTGGCTGCAAGAGAAGAAGACACGGGCGGAGCGCGGCCGCGGGCGGAGGAGGAGGGGATTATTCGCAGCGCAGTGGACATCGACTGGAGTGGGTTGGCAGCTTGCTTGCGCTGACGCGGCGTCGCGCGCCACATCCAGGGGCTGAGGCGCAGGCTGCAGTGTGAGAGCGGGGCCAAGTCGTACCAGCATTGGAGGGGGAACGGCGAGCGAGCCCACACGGGCGGGCGGCATCCAGGTGTTCGGCGGCAGCCCGGGACGACAGGCTTTGCCGCCTCGGGGGGTGGCAGGCGGATTCGAGAAGGCCCGCGCCCAGGGGGGAGGGCCGCAGTGGCTCGCAGCAGCAAGCTGCTGCAAAGTCCCCTGCCGTGCTGCTGAGAGGCGGACAGCGGGACCGCTGCGCTGCCAGAGGGGAACGCAGCATGTACCCGAGACTGCAGAGCTGCCGATGTTACCAACCGGGGCGCCGCATCACCAAGCCCCAGTTGCTGGGGCGCGGGGACAGGGCGGCTGAACCGGCGGGCGGCGGCTGTGCCACAGGCCAATCTCCAGGCAGCGGGCGTCGGCGCCAGGTGCAGGGCTTGGCTGCCGGGGCGAGGTGGCGGAGGCCGGGAGGCCCGTACCCACAGCGGGGCAGGGCCGCAAGAGTTCCCGGCCAGTGCTGCTAGAGTTAAGTCGGGCGTGTCCCCCTACAGGGGGATTTTCGCCGAAAAATAAAACACACCCCCAAAATAGCAAAACAAAAAAAAACAAAAAAACCTCTGGGGATTATTTTTTGAGTAGTTTTTGACCTTTTTGGAATATTGTTGGGGTCTGTTTTATTTGTCGTCGAAAATTCCCTTGTAGGGGGACACGCCCGACATAATGCTAGAGCCCTGCTGCGCTGCCGAGAAGCGGCCGCGAACTGATGCGTTGCCAGGGGGAACAAAACATGTGCCAAAGACGGTTGCGCTGCCGATGCCACCAAAGGGAGTGACTGAGTACCTGGTCCAGGTCGTCGGGGCTGGGGTGGCGCCCGGCGGGGCGCGGGAGCAAGGTTGGGGGCTCTTTTTGTTACAGGCGACCTCGGTGAGTCAAGTCCTGACACCGCCTGGTCGACTCCGTCAGGCCCTCCTTCTCCCACCGCGCCGCCGCTGCCATCCCTCCCTACTTTTCCGACCGTGCTGTCACTGTTGTCGTCCTTGCCCGGCCCTCTTTCCGCGCTGCCAGTGCCATCCGTATCCGCCCCTGCTGCCCGCTCTGCCCACAGTTCTCGCGCGTGTTCCAAGCAGCGCACAGCTGCCATTGCACGTACTCTTCGAACGCGAGAAGCAGCGGCGGCGACAAAGACAGTGAGGTCAACGGTGCGGCGCGGCGCGCTTGCCGCATGCCACTCCCGCCACTCTCGCCAAAATTTGGTCACGATATCTGGCCCGCTGATCCGAGCACGCCTAGGGCTGGCTGCCACTGGCCCAACCCGTCCTCCTCGCACGCGCTGATCGGGGCGCTGTAGCCGATGATGGTGAGCTCCAGCTTCGCTCCCGACATCTCGATCAGCAGCGCCAGTGCTGGCTGCCCCTGCCCCTGCCCTCTCTGATCGCACGCGGTGATCGGTGTGTTGCGGCAGATGATGGTGGCCTCCAGCTTCACCCCAACGTCCCGCTTAGCAGCGCCAGGGCTGGCTGCCGCTGCCCCTGCCCGTTCTGCGCGCGCGCGCTGACAGGAGTGCTGTAGCACATGATGGTGGGCCCCAAATTCACTCCCCACATCTTGCTGGGCAGCGCCAGGGCGGGCTGCCCCTGTCGCTGCCCGTCCTTCCCGCGCGCGCTGGTCGATGCTATGTAAGTATCAGATGATGGTGGGCTCCATCTTTACCGCCAGGGCTGGCTGCCACTGTCGTTGACCGACCATCTCGCACGCGTTGATCGGGACGTTGCAGCAGATGATGGCACTGCCACGGCTGGCTGCCTGCCCCTGCCCATCCTTCTCACGCGCGCTGATCGGGGCGCCACTCCCGACATCTCCTTCAGCAGCGCCGCGGGCGGCTGCCCCTGCCCCTGTCCGTCCTTCTCGAACGCGCTGATCAGGGTGTTGCAGCACATGATGGCGGGCTCCAGCTTCATTCCCGATTTCCCGCGCAGCAGCGCCAGGGCTGGCTGCCGCTTCCCCGGCGCGCCCTTCTCTCGCGCGCGCTGGTCGCGGCGCCGTGGCAGATGATGGCTGGCATCACCCTCATTCCCAGAGCCTTACTCAATGGCGCCGCGGCTGGCTGCTCTTGCCACTGCCCGTCTTGCTCGGGGCGCTGCGCGCGACGGAGGTCCCTGGCTTGATTCCCAACATCTCGCTCAGCAGCGCCAGGGCCCGCCGCCGCATCCCCTGCCCGTTCTTCTCGCGCGCGGTGGTCGGGGCGCCGTGGCGGGTGATGGTCGGCTCTGGCGTCGCCCCCAAATTGTCGCCGCGTAGCGCTAAGGCGGGCCGCCGCTGCCCCTGCCCGTCCTGCTCGAGGGGGGCGTGCTGATCGGAGCGCCGCAGCAAATTATGGCGGGCTCCAGCTTCGCTCCCAACATTCGCTCTGCAGCGCCGGGGCCAGCCGCGGCCGTCGATGTCCGCCCTTCTCGCGCGCGCTGATCGGAACGATGTAATAGATGATGGCGGGTTCCATCTTTGCCCCCGGCATCTCGTTCGGCAGCGCCGGCGCTGGCCACCGCCGCCCCTACCCGCCCCTGTCGCGCGCGCGGTTCGGGGCGCTGTAGCAGATGAGGGCGGGCTCCAGCTTCGCCCCCAGGCTCGGCAGCGCCGAGGGCCGGCCGCCGCCGCCCCTGCCCATCAATTTCGCGCGCGCTGATCGGGGCGCCGTAGCAAATGATGACGGCGGTCTCCAGTTCCACTCCCAGCACCTCGCTCAGCAGCGCCAGGGCGGGCTGCCGCTGCCCCTGCCCGTCCTTTTCTCGCGCTGATCGGGGCGCTGTAGAAGAGATGATTGCGGGCTCCAGCTTCGCTCTCAACATCTCGCTCAGCAGCGCCCGGGCCGGCTGCCACCGTCGCTGCCCTACCCTCTCGCGCGCGCGGTGATCGGGACGTTCTGGCAGATGATGGCGGGCGTCGCATTCGCTCCCAATACTTCGCTTAGCAGCGCCAGGGCAAGCTGCCCCCGCCATTGCCCGTCCTTCTCGCGCGCGCTCGTCGGCGCGCCGTTACAGATGATGGCGGGCTCTTGCTTCGCTCCTAACCTCTTGCTCAGCAGCGCCAGGGCCGTCTGTCGCCCCCCCTGCTCGCCCTCCTCGCGCGCGCTGGTCGCGGCGGCGTGGCAGATGGTGGTGGGCCCCAGATTCACTCCCAACGTCGCGCTGCGGGGCGCCGCGGCTGGCTGCTCTTGCCCCTGCCCGTCCTTCTCGAACGCGCTGATAGGAGCGATGTAGCAGATGATAACGGGCTGCTCCTTCGCTGTCAACATCTCGCACAGCAGCGCCAGGGCCAGCTGCCATTGCCGTTGCCAGTGCTTCTCGCGCGCGCTGACCGGGGCGTTTAGCAAACGATGGCGGGTTCGAGCTTCGCTCCCAACGCTCCGCCAAGCAGCGCCAGGGCCGGCTTCTGTTGCCCCCGCCCTCCCTTCTCTCGCGCGCTCATCGCTGCGACCGAGAACATTGCGCAAAGCAGGCGCACCGCGTGATTTGTGGGACGCGTCAGTCTGCGTCGACCCGCTCCAACGACTTGCCAGGAATAGCTGCGATCCCGCCCCGTGCGCCGTAAAGCAATTTCAAGAGCCAGTGTGCCTGGGGCCTGCGTGAAGTCTGGCAATTCCAAAGGGAGCTGATGTCAGGCCTACGCATGTTGCCGCGGAGGGAGTTGGTGTGGCTCATTCCCTGCTGTCTCCCGCCGCCGCCGCCGTCTTTGAGATTTGCCGCTTCTGGTCATCAGTATCGTCACGCAGGTGTTTTGTTACTCGTGGGTGAAACTCCGCGCGCGCGCCCCTCACTTCCAGGGTCAGGCGCGTCCGCGCAGATGCATGCACCTATTACCGTAGTTTCGCTTAGCGGATGCCATGCCCAACATGTCGTTGATGGGCGTTCCAACCATTGAGAAAGGATATTCGGGGACCAGAGTAGGACAATGCAGCACACCATGAATATATCAAAACATTTCGAACCTCTTTCCAATAAGTTGCGTGATTAATGCGGTCGGGAGCTCTTGCTTGGCGTGTCGCGCCGCATGTTCTGGCCCACCATGCTTCGGTGCGAATCGCTGTCCACACCCAGGCACCCAGGTGTCGACACCCCATACTTTTCCGAATCATGCCCGTCGGAGCGGAGCGACGCGCTATCCGCTGGCAAGGCATAGCGCGTCGCTGGGGCCGCCGCCGCGTCACAAGTTCCTGACTGTAGGCTCAGGGGGGACGCATCGACCCCAAATCGCCCGTTGATCGCCGACCCGCCCTGCCCAGGAACATACGGTTCCGTCTTCGGGGGCCTATGGCCGATCCATCGGCGATGTATCACCGATTCCAGGTCAATGCTTCCTTGACTGAGCGCCCCCCCCTCGAGCGTTGCTCTCAGCACTTGCCAGGGGCAACGGCAATCGGAGGAGCTGCGCCGCATCCGGGGGCGTTCGTCGCGGCCTCGACTCGAGAACTTCCCGTTCCCCAAGGTGGCTTCGCGAGGGCTCGACGAGAACCGCGCGTCGCGAATCTTTGGGCGCGATGCGCGAGGTTTGGTGATCTAGGAGGAGGGCCAGACGAGGCAACGGCGACCATCCTTTTTGTTTTGTGGGCCTCCTGGGAGTTTTCGTCGCCACGGCTGGGTGTGCGCCGAGAAACGGGTCTGGATGGACCGGTTACGGGGGCAGATATTGAGCGGATTTGGGCCTGGCGGCCAGCTGGGCAGGCGGGCAAGATCCCAGCCTCACGTGCCCTTGCTTTTGGTAGTTGCGTTGGTCGTCCATCTTGCACGCTCATGGCGTCCAGACCGTCGTTGCCGTCGTTGTTGGCTGCTGCGTTAGTTACGCAGAGGGCCACTCACAGGGGGTCACTGCCTTCGTTGCTTTGCTATCCCCCCTGGATTGTTTTGGGGCCCACCCGCTGGTACCGTATCCAACTCAGCTGACCTGTTGTGCCCCATCAAGCTTCCCTGTCCTACGCGCAGTGTCTGTGCACAACGTCGTCTGCGAATCCTACCCTTTGGACTGGCAACGGTGCGCAACTTGTTTCTGGAACGTGTTGAAGTGTTTGGGCTGCTTCCGATCGATCGGCACCTCTTGACTGACTGTAATCGTTGCCGAGATTGCCGTGATTGATCGGGCAACGCCCGCCGTTTGTTGGCGTGTATGTCTCGTCCAGTGATGTTTGCTCGCGCCGTCCGCGATTCCGACGATGCAGACTCGGACTGAGGTGCTGGCCTACTTCGGGCGCAGCCCCCGCGCGAGTGCGTTGCTGTGGTCTGTCTTCCCCCATCGTACGATATGTACGAGCTCGCCCCACCCCAACAGACATATTATACACACGCGCACACGCACACACACGCACACACACACACAACACAACACAACACAACACAACACAACACAACACAACACAACACAACACAACACAACACAACACAACACAACACAACACAACACACACACACACACGCGCGCCCCCCTCCACACCCCCACCCACCCATCCACCCACCCACCCACGCACACGCACACACGCACACACACACACACACACACGCGCACGCATGCATGCACGCACACGAACGCACACACACGCACACACACACACGCACACACACGCACACACACACACACGCACACACACACACACACGCGCGCACTCGCCGACACACAGCCCCCTCTCACGCACACGCTCACACAGCTGGCAGACACGTGTGTCCAGCGAGGAACATTTCAGTTCACTAGTGGCTACAGGGCAAGAGTGCGTCTGGGGGGCCGTTCGCGCTGGCTCGGGCTCTCCCGACCAAGCTGAATGATTTGTTATTGTTAAGGAGGGGAAACGCCCAGGCACAAATAATTGTCGATTGCCAGGAGAACTGGAACAATGGGAACTGGAGGGGAAGACGAACATCCCAAATAGGAACATATGTGGAATCATTGGCTTTGTGTCCACTTGTTTGTGTGCCCCTGGGCCCCTTCAGCGGTGCATGGGCGGCCTCGGAAGGGAGCCAACACGGGCTTCCCACCTCGCAGCACCGCGCTGCAGGCAGCACAGGTCGCGCCTTTGTGCTTCGGGCCACCCGCGGCACAGGATGAGCAGACTGAGCAGGCATGGGACACACCAGACTTGAGAAAGATATGAGGCTTTCCAGACAGGGCCTTGCCTTCGAACCTCGAAGGAGTTGTTATCTCTTCCGCCGCGGAAGGCGGCGGAAGGGCGGCGGAAGGTCGGCGGAAGAAACGCGAGGCCGCCTCCGCCGGCGGAAGCTCGGCGGAAGGCGGCGGAAGTAAAATATTCGCCCCCAAGAGTTGAAAACGTTTTTGGGTTCGGCTCTTCCGGATTCCGCAATGAACTACGAAAAGTACAGGGTGTAGCGTGCCCGCTGGCGGCCCGCGTAAGCCACCGCGTGAGTCGCTACGTCATCTCGCGCAAGACCCGTTTCGTTTCGTCGCTCGTGTGTCCTTAGTTTCTCGGGGATCCGCGCACTCTGCGCGTAGCAGCCTCGAGTTGGCCTGTGCACATGTCGCACCGCACGGCCGAGAGCTTGAGTGGGGAGCGCCAGCGAGGCACCGTGCGTGACACGAACGGTGTTGCTGATCATCGACGAAGAAAAATCGCCATAGACATAAACTTTTGGCGCCCCGCGCGGATTTCTTGCATCCGCGCTGGGCGCCACCTCCCCCGGCGGCGCCTCCAGCGCCGCCACTGGCGCGCGGAGCGCGCCAGGGAGGGGGGTCCCAGCGCAGACCCAAGAAATCCGCGCGGCGCGCCAACGAGTCTTTATGTTCGTGCTGTTATTGTTGTCTCTCTTCCAGGAAGCTGCTGCGACCGACGGCTGTTGCTCAAGAGGGAAAACATACACACAGACACAATGAATCGCCGACTCCCAGGAGAATATGGGAACATATGGGAAGTGGGGGGGAAGACAAAACACCCGAACATATTGGGAACATATGGGGGGATCCTGGGATCTGTGTGTGTATTTCTTTCTGTGCCCTTGGGCCCCTTGATCGTTTTGTTGGTTTTCCTTCCTCCGGAGAAGCTGTTGCGACCGACGGCCGTTGTTTTTGTTGTTTTTTCTTGCTGTTTGTTGTTGTTGTCTTCTTGATGCTGCCCCTTGATATTCTTTTTCTTTTTCTGCCTCCAGAGAAGCTGCTGCGACCGACGGCCGTTTGCCGCCGACGGAGCGCCGCGCCGCCGCTCAGCTGGCCGGCCTTGGCCGCCTGCCGCGGTGGCGCGCGCCTGCCGCGCCCTGCAGAGCGCGGCCGGCGGCGAGGGGCGGCCGCCCGCCTCGCCAGGGGGCTGCGGGGAGCCCCCCGCCCGCGCGCGCGCGCGGCAGAGGCAGCTGCGGGAGCCCCCCGCCCGCGCGGCTGCGGGGAGCCCAGACGGGGAGGCAACTGCTGGGAGGTTTTCGTCGGAACAGCTAAGGAGGACTAGGCCCCAGTTGGGAGCTGTTGCGCCGGAGTGGGCCTCGGACAAAGCAGGAGACAGCCAGATTAAGCGGGATTCAACGGGATGAAGCCGGATTAAGCGGGACGAAGCAGGATTAAGCCCAGAGTTAAGTCGGGCGTGTCCCCCTCCCGAGCCTTTTTCGGGGATGGGCGCCACCTCCCCTAGTAGAACGTGGCTTAGAGAAAACGGCCTCGGGCCCAAACATGGCGTCCGCAAGCCTGGAGCAGGACGGCCGCGACGCCCCCTCGAGAACCGTAAACGCACAATTCTCGAATCGGCGTGTCAGGGTGGGGGGGTCCTCCCCCCCCGCAGCTCTTGCACCCTAGGGTTAAGTCGAGCGCGTCCCCCTACATAGGAGATTTTCGATGAAAAATAGATACCCCCCAAATACTCCCAAAATGGCAAAAAAAAATATTCCAAAAATAGCCCCCAGGTGATTTTTTAACTGCTTTTGAATGTTCCCCCTGTAGAGGGACAGGCCCGACCCAAAGGCAGGGCGAGCACGACTGGGTCGATGCCATCCGTGGTCTGGGTGTTCGTCCGTCAAGCAGTGGCGACGCGTCCCGGTTCGCCTATAGGCCTACCAAATAATGCTGTAAGAACCTGTTGTGGGTTGCACGAGATGTTCTTAGAACATGTCTGGTTGGGACTGTCTTGTTTCAACACATCGGGCTAATGGTCTAAGAACATTGTTAGTGTTCTTAGAACATGTTTGGGCACTAAGAAAATTTCGTGGTAGGCCTGTAGGAATGCCGGGACGGTCGATCCCTGCTCAACACCCGTCGTCTGGGTTTTCGTTCGGTTGGCGACCCATCGGGCCGCGGCTGTTCACAGTTCGGAAGGGAACAGACACAGACACAAGGAACCGTCGACTCCCAGGAAGAGGTGGGGGAAGTGTGGGAAGCGGGGGGGAAGAACGACGAAGACCCAGAAAATACGAGAAGATAGAGGGAATCATGGGATTTGTATCCATTCATTTGTGTCTCTGGGCCCCTTTCATGATGTGCGTCGTATGGGTATGTGGATTTCTCCGCTTCGTCGCTACGTGCGAGGCCGCTACCGCCCAAGAGAATGTGTGTGTGTGTCTGTGTGTCTGTGTGTCTGTGTGTCTGTGTGTGTGTGTGTCTGTGTGTCTCTGTGTGTGTGTGTGTGTCTGTGTGTCTGTGTGTGTCTGTGTGCGTTTGTGCCCTGGCTCGGCCGCGCGCGCTCTCCCGTTCGACGACCTGCTCGTGGGCGAAACACATATCCGTATCCGCGGCCTCACGGGCTGGGCCCCTGGGCTGCGACCCCGCGCGTTTTTTTCGCGGATGCCCCGTGCGGAACGCATCCGTGCGACCGCGTATCCACCGCGAGGGCGCGAATACGGATATGTTTGCCGCTCGTGACCTACCACGCGCCGCCGCACGCGTGGCCGCGACGCGAAAAAGGGCGTCTACCGGCAAGTATGCTATCGGGCTGGTGCGTGCAAGGGTTTCTTTTTTGCTTCTGTGAGGGCCGTTCGCATCGCAGAGGTTCTGGTGTTCACACGTCGCATCTTCTCCGGGCCCCAATGTCATCGGGCGTTATCGACTCGTTGTCCTGCGTGTGTTGACAGCGGAGTGGGTGGATGCGCGCATCTTTGCAGCCGTTCTGGTCCGAACGCCGCATGTGGCGCACGGCCTCCGGGGAGGGCGGGCACTCGCACCGGTGAGGCAGCGGATGTCTGACGGAGATCGAGGAGAAGCGAGTCGAGCAGTGCGGCACGGTCGTAAGACGAGCAAGAGGGCAGTGCGGGCCAATGCCAGCAGGAGCCTCCCTCGGGCCTGCGCGCCTTCGTTGCCAGACCTCCCCGACTCGAGCCTGCGAGGGCTGCCCCTGGACCCTGAGCCATCAGGTTCGGGGTGGGTGCAGCGGAGACCCGTGCCATGAAACACCCTGCTTGCCTCCAGGGTGCCCGGGGTTTCTTGGGTTTCGATGGTCTTGCGATGGAAAGCGTGACGTTCCCACACCAAAAATCGATGGACGTCCTGGGGTCTCAGGGTTGGGTTTCTTGTGGAAGGTTTCTCGTGGACTGGCTTCCGCTGTACCCTGAGTCATGCGCGGCGGCGCGAAGGCAATCGCGCTTTTCGCACTGTGGCCTGGGCCCCAGAGCCGCCCTCGCGAGGGCGCGAGGGCGCGAGGCTAGCCGCGCATTGCGGGGCGCGCTGCGGGGGGTCAGGGGACGGGGAGACTGGTTGGATGTTCGTGTCGGAGACCTGTCTGTGGCACACGGAACGGATCTGTTCGACTCATGATCGACTCTAATTAGCTCGGCTCAAGTTCGATTTACATCGACAGACGTTCGGCGCAGCATCGAGGTCGAGTGGCTCCAGGGAAATCCCCAGAACGCGCATCTGAGAATGCACTGACGGACCGGGAGCCAGTGGCAGTTGCCGTGGCCTTTGCTGGTCCTCCGGGAGGCGGCCGGCGGCGGCCGGCGGCGGTCGGACGGTGGCCGGCGACCGTGGGCGGCGGCCGGCTGGTGGTTGTTTACGGCGGCCGGCCGGCAGTGGCGGGCCCCGGGAGCGTCGGGTCGGGCGGACGGGACGGAGCGCGTGGGCAGAAAGTGTTGTCAAAACGTTGCCTGGGCCGCGGCTGGCGCGCCGATGCAGGAGAGGAGAGGCTCGGAGACGGATGAGGAGGAGGAGGAGGAGGAGGAGGAGGAGGAGGACGAGGACGAGGACGAGGACGAGGACGAGGATGAGGACGAGGACGAGGACGAGGACGAGTACGAGGACGAGGAGGACGAGGAGGACGAGGAGGACGAGGAGGACGAGGAGGACGACGACGACGAGGAGGAGGAGGAGGAGGACCAGAGTCGGAACAAACCCTCCCTCCAAGCTCCTTCTTCATAACTAGGCCTCTGCAAGGAATCATTTCCACTGGTGGAAGTGCCCCGTCGGGAGACAACCGTCTGAAGATTCTGAAGCGTGCCAAAACACCATTCTTGGAACTCCAACGCTACGAATCAACCTGACTGTTGCGCCTTGATGATCCTGAATCGTGCCAGAACACCATTCCTGGGGCTTCAACACCTCGAATCAATGTAACTGCTCCAAAGCAATTCCTGGTACGTCGACCATGGGAACTTGCGAAACGCGTGCAATGCTTTAAAGCGAAGGTGCGCGGCGCTAAGGCGAGAGACACAGTTTGACAAAGAACCGCCCTCAATCCGTGAAAGTCTTGTTTTTTTTCTGGTGAACGCGCGTGGCGCTAAGGCGAGAGCCGCACTTTGAATGCAGCCCGCCCCCAGTCCGTGAAACTCTCTTGCAAATATTTAAGACGAGTGTGCGCGGCGCGAAGACGAGAGCCACATTTTGAAAACCGCCCGCCCTCCATTTGCGAAACTACCATGAATGGTAAGGACGTCTCAGGCGAAACGCCTGGCCCGCCTTTCCGACGTGCCTCGGGATGCGAGGAGTTGCTTATGCGGAACAGGAAGGGAGGAGGAGGAGGAGGAGGAGGAAGAGGAGGAGGATAGGATAGGATAGGCGGGGGGGAGGTCTGCGGCATGCAGCTGGTCTCGGCCCCGCCGCCAGATGCTTTCCTCGCTGCACTAGCGCCCTTGGCGCCGGGGGACGCTGGGAGGATCTGCCACGTGAGCTGATCAGCGAACCCCCAGCTTAGTATACCCAGGCCTCCTCGGGGAGGACTAGGTATAGCAAGCGCAACCTAACCCCTATCTGGGCCGCCTCGGGTAGGACTACTAATCCCAAGCTAGCCCCCAGCTTTATGAAGGGGTCGGAGCAGATGGGGTCGGAGGATTCCGCAGTATCGCCGATACATCCACGATGCCGCTCGACGTGGATCCCGATGATCTGCACGCAGACGTCGCCGATGCATCAGCGACGTCGCCTTTTGTTTTCGCCGATGCGTCGGCAATGTACAGACGATGCGGCGCGATCCTCCGACCCCATCTACTCGGACCCTATCTGGGAGGCCTCTACCGTACCACCACCCCTCTCGTCCGACCACAGAGAGTCGGCCACACGTAAGAGTGGCCATTGGCAGGCGCGCGGTTTTCGGGGGCAGCGGGGGTGCCAAGTCCAAGCGCCCAAGCCTCTTCAAGCCAGTGTTGGGGCGATTCCTCTGGGCCCGCACCAAGTGTCGGCGGCGTTCCCGGGGAGGGAAGAGAGAAGGAGCGGGCCTTCTCAGAAGGCGTGGAAGCCCCCTGGCCTTCTGACGAGTTTTCTGAGCCTGCCCCGAAGACTCGGGAAACGTTTCAGAAGGAGCCAGGGTTTCTGAGAAGTCCCGCCGCCTTCTGAGAAGGCCTTCTCCTTCTCACTTCACCCCCTCGCTCGCCGCCGAGCCCAGACGTCATGATTTGTTCATAACGTCGACCCCCAGTGGTCTCGGTCCATTCACCAGGACCGGCTTTTCATGCCGAGTCGTCTTTGGACGGCCCCGAGGCATGACGAGGGCTCCAGAGGCCGAACATAGCGAAAAAGCATCCCGTCGTGATTTTTTCAATAACTCAGGGGTGATCCCTACGGGCTAGCTGCCGACAGGGTCACTCCATCGAAGGGTCTCTCTTAAACGCCGGTTGTTGCACGTAGGTATTTCTGGATTCCCACATTCCCAAACTACTTGAGGCGCCTTCCCACTTCAAGGATCGATACATGGTTTTGTTGTGTTTGCTACTCTTTGGGCAGGCCCGAACCCAATATGTTGTATTCGCCTTCCTGCTTCATGTTTTCACCTACTTCTTCTGATTTGCGGGTACGTGTACTGTGAAAGCCATGCCAAGAAACACCCTGCGTGCCTCCAGGGTGCCCCGGGTTTCTTGGGTTCCTATGGTTTTGCGATGGCAAGCGTGACGCTCCCACGCCACAAACCAATGGGCGTCCAGGGGTCTCAGGGTTAGGTTTCTTGTGGAAGGTTTCTCGTGGACTGGCCTCCGCTGTGCTTCTTCCGACTGGCGGGTGCGTGTAGCCGAGAGAGGCCGGCCGGGCGGACCGCGGGAGGCGGCGGCCGCGCTGCTGCCATGCCGCGCGCGGGGCCTCGGGTGGGCCCGCTGCGGCGGGCGCCCCTGCCTGTCGGCGCGGCCTGCGTCGGCGCCGCGGCGCTGCCGAGGCGCCGCGACTCCTGCGCTGCCTGCCTGCCGTCCTGCCTGCTGCCCCGGGGCAGAGCAAGACAGGGCTCGTTCCGATGCCTCCGACTGGATTCGATGTCGATGTCCTTCGAGTCCGATTCGATTCGACTTCGGAGTTCGATCCGGGCTCCGGCTTCTTACTGGAGGCCCACTAGCCTGCCGATTCCCGCCGATTCGATTTCTCTCGACTCGGTTGCCGATTTCCGGAGACCCGATTCGTTTCGATCGCCGATCCGATTTATCGATTCGATTGTGGGTTCTCCTGCCTGCCTGCCTGCCTTCCTGCCTGCCTGCCTGCCTGCCTGCCGTCCTGTCTGCTACCTTCAGAGAAGCAAGGGGTCATGATGATGATGATGATGATGATGATGATGATGATGATGATGATGATGAGGATGAGGATGAGGATGAGGATGAGGATGAGGATGATGAGGATGATGATGATGATGATGATGATGATGATGATGATGATGATGATGATGAGGATGATGAGGATGATGAGGATGATGATGATGATGATGATGATGATGATGATGATGATGATGATGATGATGATGATGATGATGATGATGATGATGATGATGATGCGTTCCAAGGTTCACGCGAGGAAGAGGTACCCATGCAGCTACCCGCTCCTCGTTTTCGCCTTTCTGGGCTGCCTGGGGGCCCCTCGTCGCCAACGCTGGACTCGCTTTGAAATTATGGTCAGAACGCACCCAGGAGATGTCCGGGGAGTAGCAGTACGGCGGTACGGTACCTGGCTGTTTCCCCAAACCGAGCATTTTCTTTTGGGTGGAGGGCAAATGGTGAACTGTGAAATGCCGTTTCATCGGATTTTCAAGGCTTGAGTTTGCAAGAGGTGAATCACAAGACGGATTGATCTTCGAGGTGCACAAGCCCATATGGAGTTCACCCTGAGCCCTCCACCCTAAGACAATATTCAGCCAAATATTATTCAGGCTTCCCGGATTCCCTACTGTTTCACACGGGCTGCGGAAACCATGGCCGCTGGATGCTCCCCGGGAATCTTGCAAGAATCGTAAAATTGTTGTCGTCTTACACCCGCCCCTCGTTTCCTGTTTCCTGAGTGCTTGTCTTGGCGATCCGTGCCCCCCGTCTTCTCCCCCTCCTCCTTCCCAGTCCTCGTCGTCGGAAGATGATCGGCGTCACCCCAACAAACTTATACTAGATGTGCGTCGCCCCCCCGGGGGCGATGCGCGCACCGAGAAGTGTTATAGTCTATGCGTCGTGGCGGGCGCTTTCTGGCCGCACCGCTCGGGAAACGATATACTACAAGATGGGTATACTAGAGGCTTGGGTCGGACGCGCGCCTCCAAGGAGAGCATATAGTACGAGTATGTTTTTGTGCGTCCCAGATGATGAACAGGAGGATGCTCCCCCTCCCGACCCCTCCGCACAACCCGCTCGCCAACACACCTCGCCCCCTGCGCGGATCAACCCAACAGAAGCCAGCGGCTTCCTGGGCTCCTGCCCCCCCCCCGCACGAAAGTGTATTGTGCGAGAGCACTTCTACATACCCATTGCCCCTGCCCCCCCCCTCATAATGCCCATTATCGCCGGAAATAAAGAAACGCGCTCGAGGAGACTCCCCCTCCCGACCCCTCCGCACAACCCGCTCGCCCACATACCTCGCCCCTTTCGCGGGTCAACCCAGCAGAAGCCAGCGGCCTCCTGGCCTCTTGCCCCCCCCCCCCGCGCACGAGAGGGCGTCGGGCGACGAGAGCTTTGCATGCTCACTGCCCCTGGCCAGGCCCATCCAAGGCCCATGAGCGGCGTATATTCTGAAAAGGTTAACATAAGCATAAACTGTTGGTGCTCCGCGCGGATTTCTTGGATTCGCGCCTGGGCCCGCCGGCGGCGCCTCCAGCGCCACCCCTGGCGCGCTCCGCGCGCCCCCCGAGGGGGGGGGGGTCCAGCGCGAGTCCAAGAAACACGCGCGGAGCGCCAACAGTTTATGCTTATGTGTTTTTTTATTATTCTAATTTCTAGTGTATGCTTCCCTGGTCAAGCCAGGAGGGCTACTGCACCGCTCCTGGGCCCTGGAGCCATGGAGACCTCGTCGCCCTCCTTAGGGGAGCAAAACATGGCATGAACATAACAACTCGGAGGTCCGCGCGGATTTCTCGGATCGGCGCTGGACCCCCCTCCCCCCAAACCCCTCTCTGCGCGTGACTGGCACAAACGGTGGGAACATAATTTCACAGAGGTGCGCGCAGATATCCTGGATCGGCGCCGACCCCCCTCCCTGGCGCGCGGAGCGCGCCCAGAGGCGGCGCGGGAGGCGCCGCCAGGGGGGGTCCAGCGCGGATCCGAGAAGTCCGCGCGGACCTCCGAGTTGTTATGTTTATGCCACTTTTTGCTCCCCTACTCCTGCGGAGGGAGGGTCGGCAGCAGGGCCTCGGCGGCGACGTCCGAGCCCCCGCCCCTGCCCGGCCGCGCAGGCTTGCTGCTGGCAGCGGCGGCCCCGCCCGTGGCGTTGGGCCCGGAGGCCGTCCCTGCAAATTAAGTCGGGCGTGTCCCTCTGCGGGAGGAACCTTGAAACATTGATGGGCCTGTCTTCCACCACCATTACCACAAGCGGGAGGGGGGAAGGAGGAGGAGGAGGAGGAGGAGGACGAGGAGGAGGAGGACGAGGAGGAGAAGGAGGAGGAGGAGCAGGAGGAGGTGAAGGAGGAGGACGAGGAGGAGGAGAGGGAGGAGGAGGAGGCAGGAGGAGGTGAAGGAGGAGGACGAGGAGGAGGTGAAGGAGGAGGACGAGGAGGAGGAGGAGGAGGAGGAGGGAGGAGGAGGGAGGAAGGAGGAGGGAGGAGGAGGAGGAGGAGGAGGAAAAGGAGGAGGACCCCCTCCCACTCCAACTTATAATGGTGGTGCTGGTTGAAAACAGGCCCACCAGTCAATGGAGTTAAGTCGGGCGTGTCCCTCTACAGGAGGAATCTTCAAACATAGGCCAAACAATCGTATGGAAACGACTCTTTGGAGCACTTTTTGGCCCTTTCGGAATGTTTGCTTATTTGTGTGATCATTTGGGAATATGTTTTTGTTCTACTTTTTTATGTTTCGTCCAAAATCCCCCTGCAGGAGGACATACCCGACCCAACCCTGGGGGGGGCGGGGGGCGCGGGCCGCCCCGCGAGTTGCCGGGGGAGGAGGGGCCGGGCGGTTCGCAGAGGGGGCCGCCGCCAGCCCTCGAGCGGCACCTGCCGCGCCTTCCGCGCGGCGCGGCGGGTGCCGCGCCGAGGCGGCCGCCCCCGCGGCCGCGGCGGCGACCATGAGTTGGATGGGGAGGGGGTCCTCCTCCTCCACCTCCTCCTCCTCCTCCTCCACCTCCTTCCCCCCTCCAGCTTATGGTGGTGGTGGTGGCGGCGGTGGCCGCCGAGGCTGCAGCGGCGGCCTCGGCAACAATGGCAGAAGGTGCATTAATCAAGCAGTGGCGAGGCGTCCCAGCTCGCCTATAGGCCTACCACAGAAAGTTCTAAGAGCCTCTTGTGGCCTGTGCGACATGTTCTTAGAACATCTCTGGCTGAGACGGTCTTGTTCTAACGTATCGGGCTTGCGTTCTAAGCACACTGTTTTTGTTTTTCGGACACTTCGGGTTCTAAGAACATATCGTGGTAGGCCTATAGGAATGCAGGGACGGTCGGTCCCTGCTCAAATCAAGGTGCAGGTCGAGGCAGGGTCAGGAACGCTTGCCCTGCAAACGTTCCCAACATTGAGGGTGGACTGCGTGATGCTTGTTGCCTGTGTGTCCTCCTCTCACTCCGCGTATGTTGCTGGGCCTCTTTGGGGCCTCCCGGATGCCTCGGGGGCGACCTCTTGGGGGCTTTGGTGGGTCCTGGGGGCTCCTGGGGGCTTGGTTGGTCCGTTGGAGCGGGTTTACTCAGGTACTCGTCCACCTCCTCCTCTTCCTCCTCCCCCTCCTCCTCCTCCTCCTCTTCCTGCTCCTCCGCCGCATCCTCCTGCTCCTTCTCCTCCCTCCTTCCCCCCCTCCCTTCCCTCACGTTCGCGCGGGCGGAGCGGGAGTAGACTGCCAGCTGCCAGCCTTCTGTCCGGTGGAGCAGCCACGTCCCCCAGGACGCGCCGAGGACAGACGACCGCCAGACGGCCACACGAAGCGTGGTGTCGGGAGCTTCGGAGCCCCGCGCATCGATACATCAGGAGGTCGGAGGCGTGGAGTCCGATCTGACTTGATTCGAGCTCGTGGGATCGTGCTGAACTTGATATATATATATATATATATATATATATATATATATACATATGTTATTTATACACATGTATATATATGTATACATGTATATGTATGTGTAGCCTTCTGAAACACGGCAAACTTGTTGAGTGTTGTTCGCCGCCTTCCGCGCTGCAGTTGGACGTGTTGGAACGAGCAATCTGCTGAGGGGTACAGTTACGCGCTTATATGAGGGATCACGACAGCGGTACACACACCACGCTTACATTTTCACATGCCTACATGTATACACGTACATGCTTACCGCGGCAAGCCCCGCCACCGCGCTTGCGCAATAGCGTAGCAGGAATGAGTTTAGATTATTCACGATGCCCAGCGGAGCAATCCTTGCTGGGGGAGCGTGGCATCATGTGGAGGCTCGGGGAACCTCCATGGGCTTGAGGGCTCTTGAGTAGGTTCAGCGATGATGATGGTCGGTATTCGGAGGGCGGTCCACGCTCGAGCACCAGCCTCGAAGGCCGCCGAAATTTCACACCGTAGGGGGCGGGGCTGTCATTGATGATCGTCAACTGGAGAGCTGAGCAGCTGGGCCCGCCCATATCCAGCGCGTCTTGGACTCTCTTGGAAGCGGCGCAGCGAGGCCGAGGTGCGCCTCGGGTTTCTGGGGAAGGGTGCCCGAAACTCCAAGTTGCAGTTGATACGGACAGAAGTATAGTGCAAATCCATAGTAAGGACGGGTAGCCTTCCCAAACGCACCCTTGCGTCCTTCGATTTTGCCGGCAGTGCGCCGCCAGAAAAGTTTGAATTGGGGCGTCCAAGGACAGTCCAACTGCTTCCTTACAGCGTGTCCTTGCTACAGATTTTGATAGTATTGCCAGCGTCCGCTGGCACCGGGCCTCCACCAGGGCGCACTCTGCAGCCGGAGTCTTTGGTGGGGGACGTCGGCCCCCTTAACGGGCTGGCAGGTCGCACGGGCACCCTCCACGATCTGGGGCACGAAGGGGGCCTACGGGGGGGTGACTTCCATTTTTCTTCCACTTTCGTTTCGTCCTCTTTCGATTCGTCCTCGTTCGAAGCCTGGACGAGTCGAAACCGGACGAATCCAAGCGGGCGACATAAGATTTTTATGAAATGCATCGGAATGTTGCGTGCGGGACCCTCGACGAAGAATAAACAATTGCATACACAAGAATTTCTGGAGATCCCTGCGGATGTCTTGGGTCGGCACTGGACCTACCACCCTGGCGCGCCAGAGGTGCCACCAGAGGCGCCGTCAGGGGGGCCCAGCGCCGATCCAAGAAACCTGCGCGAAACTACAACAGTTCTTGTATCTTTTGCTTATATACATGTATGTATGTCTGTGTATATATATATATATATATATGTGTTCTAGTACCTCTGAAATCGCTGATGTTCTCCGTCCCGACATCTCCGTCGCGGGTGCTTTGACCTCCTTCGGGAGGCCGCCAGTATTTCCTGCGATGGTCATACCGAGCTCCTCCCAGAAGGCACAGCCGTGGACTGGGCAGTGGGGCACTCTTGGAGCCATTTCGATGCGGTCTTGGACTGCGGGAGTCTCCAGGCCCTTTTGGGTGTTTCTCGGGGCCGTTTTCGGCCGCCTTGTGTGGTTCTTGAGTCCCTCTGGGGCTGGGTCGATGTCGGGGCATGTAAGGGGTTGAGGGCGAACCCGTGCCCGTGCCCTTTCCCATGGCTGTATTCAAGCCATCCTCCTGCTCCTCCTTTTCTTGCTTCCCCCCTGCCATTCGAAAGGTCGGTCATCCTGCCCTGCCTGTTTCTCACCCTGTCCCTGCCGCGACCTCATTGGATCTGAAGAACCATTTTACCGCGCCCGCTTCACATCGTTTTACATAGTAAGATTCGCGATGCATCCGCTTACGGAAAACTTTTGCAGGTTCGTCCTTGCTCCAATATCACGGCCGCCACGTTCCTCCTCGCCTTGATGGCCGCGTCTACCTTCCGTCGGTCTATATCGCGACGCTTGCAGGAAACGTCATTCACGGGTACGACGAGGCTGGACCAGCCCATCCGCAGGAACACCATGTCGTGCTGTACTACATCCTGGTATGAGTCCGCCTACAACATCATCGCTTTCGTGCACTGATCCCCGCTCACTGTAGCAGGAAACGTTACTCAAGGGTCCGTCGGCGCAGGCATCCGCACACCCGCCAAAACCAGTGGCCGAGAACGTGCACAACCGTTACAGCATCAAGGACAAAACCACCAACATCTACAATGGCCGCTTTACGACCCATCCCGGGCATACTTTGACTGTGTCCAGGCAGCTCGCGAACCCCGCAGTGCCAATGCCCCCGCCCGTGGGGGTAGCTTCAGGTGTTAGACACTTGCTCGACACAACGTTCACATTTGCGGTGTCATAACAAGGCCCCGGCCTTCTTGGGACTGAGTCTCGAAAGCCCCGGGAGAAGCAAGCGGAGGCATCTGGCGACTGCGTCGCTGGTGCCAAGCGGATGCAGTGGGAAGTATGGGAACGGTGTTCTCGACCCCCCTGTGGCACTGCAGTGGAGGGCATGACGATTGGGGCGCCATCGCTCCGAGGCACCACACCCTGGGACCCGACGCTTCGCCTCACCTACTCAGACTCGCCTGCCGGGCAGGACGGGATCCCGGTGCGCACTCCTCTGGACGATCGTGCAACCGGCGGCATTTCAGTGCAGCGATCACGCGACGTGCGAAAAAACATGCCCGCGCTTGCGTCGCAGGATGCCCCTAGTTCCGCGAGCCGCGAGCACTACATTGACGCGACAAAAGCAGACAGCCAATTCGCCGACGACGAGGAGGAACACATCCAGGGGAAGTACTCGCGGCGACTCGTGTAGCGCCGCTCGTGGATCTCTGGCTGCCAGAACCTCTACGACACGTGGAGGAAGCTACACTCCGGATGGACGGCCGTTGGAGTCGGCATATTCGCAATCGCAAGGCTCATCGATTGCGCGGACGCAGGTGGTGGCAGCGGCAGCAAGCGCCGCCTCCATTCTTGGGGGCCCGAGCACCAGGCTCGCGTGCCTTCCTGGAAATGGGTGCGCAAGGTGATGATCTCTTCAGTGGCGAACCCCGACCTCAACGAGTTCCGCCAGGCGGCCTACGTCTCGTCGCGCCTCGCCGGCGCGGCGCGCGAGTGCGTGGACGAGTGGCCGCCGGCTGTTCTGATCCAGGGAGGTCTCAGTCACGGCAACCCAGCGCCACCGATGACTTTCCTCATGCGCAGCTTGCTGAACGGCGGGGCCACCTTGGCGTGGAGCGCGCCGCGGCAGCGTCAGCCC